GTGTTCTTTAAAAACATAAGAATCCAATAAAAATATCAAAAAAATATTTTGCACAAAATAAATTAACTAAAATACCCTAAAAAATTTTAAAAGGTATTTTGATCTATTTATATTTTATGAATTCTTTTTTTAATATTTTTATTAGATGTACGGTAAAAATAAACACTTAAAATTTTAAGTGATTTGAATTTTAAAAAAATATATTAAAATTAATATACTAAATAAAATCATGACCGTTAGATCAACCCATCCATATATATATATATATATATATACTCCTTTCATGAGGATGGAAGAAGAAAATTAAATTGTAGCTCCTGATGATAGACATTCACCGAGACATTCATAAACCAAAACAGTCTGGATGTCACACTGGTGTATGATATACTTTTTTAGGGAAGAACGCCACAAAATCTGATCAAATTAGAAGGTTTCCGCTGGTAAGTAATAGAACATGCCATTTTTTTGGATTTTGTGAACAAGCCAGTTTTTTGGATTTTTTTTTATAAGTTGTCATTTATGGAAAAATTGGAGAGAGCGGATTTTTCTACAAGTTGTCTTTATATAAAATCGGGGAGAGAGAGAAAGAGGCACTTTATATTGATTATTTTTCTAGGAAAGCCAGGATTTAACCTCAAAACCAGAGTGCTCCAATCTTGAAGGCCTTATTACAAACCTAGAACAATAAAAAAAGGAAAAGTTTATATAAAGCCGAGGATCTATACAATCAAATTTGAGCCAACCTAAAAAATTTTACTACAGAAAGTTGTTTTGATGCTCAAATATTTTCAAATTGATCATCTCGATATCAAGATGCTTGGACATGAAAAAATGTAATTCAAGTTTTGAAAGTAGTGTACTTTATAATGCATTTTTGAACTGTAAATTTTCAAGATTTTCAAGTATTCGACTTACACTATTTTTTAAGCTTTTAAACTTTATAAATACAGATGAAAATCTATTTTAAGGCTATCACAAAAATTTCCAGTATTAAAATCACGTTTCTCAACACTATTTGAAGGTAAGCTCTAATTTGATTGTTTAGAGCATAGGCTCCATTCAAACCGCACCCATTAAAAAAAAAAAAAACAGAGAACTATAATGAAGTAATTGTTAAATTTGAAAACCTAACAATAAATCATGTGACCTGTGAACTGTGCTAGTCCCCTGTTCAACCTCAATCTCATGGCCCAGGTTAGAATTATTGGGCCCAAAACAAGGTTTTAGCTCTCTACCCAACACTTATGGCTGTGTTAGTGCTGATTAGGAAGGTCTGAATAGACATATTCACAATAAAAGCTTATTGATCAGATAACAGAAAAAAAAAAAACAGAACAACCAGAAATTAGAGAATAGGAGATGCCGTGAATTTATTTTACACCTGATTAAATTTCTTTTTTTTTTTTTTTTGGGATTGGTAGATCAGAATACAATATTCATTTCAAGGCATATAAAAACCACTTGGGCACCTAGAAGAACGTAAATGTCTCCCATCTTTACACATGAAACAGTTCCTCCCCAGTCCCAAGTAACTTAGCATATAGTCCATTTGATAGATCATCTCACAAGTTGATAAAAAATTCTGTTTTCTTTGAAATTTTTCTGTTTTCGGATAACAATGATAAAGGAGTTAATATGCTGAAATTTACAGATAGGCATATGAACAACTACGGAAATTTTTCTTTTGCTTACCTAAGAAGAGAAGAAAATCTTTGAAATCAGTCGCCAAGTAAACAAAGAGGTTGCCGCATGCTGAGCTCCGCTTTGAGCAGGGGAAAACCATCAAGGCCATTATGGGTGTCCAAAATTTTCTGCAACAAAAGAAGACTGAGTTAAAAACTAAATGAAGAAAAAATTATTAAAATAACTCCGGAGTCAGAGATTAACAAAATGGCATCGCATTGAAAATATTGGTAAAAATGGCACTGGTAATTTCCAGAAAAAGAATAGAGAGAAAGATAGAGATTCAGAGCCATAACTAATCAAGGTGTAATCTATCGCCATAGGGAAAGCAAAGTCTTACGTGAAATGGAGCTGCAAATCTACAGGAACCCTAATACCTCGCACAAGGAGAGAGAGAGAGAGAGAGAGAGAGAGAGAGAGAGTACGTCGAGGAGGAGTACTACCTAACTAAAAGTAAAGTACGTACGAGACGAAGGAAGTAACGAAACCTAAACTAAGTAGAGTAGTACTCTAAGTACGACTACTACTTA